ATTTGAATTCATGGAAGCATATTATTATATATGTAGGTATATATTATTATATTATATATCAGAAAAAGTAATTTTTGTTTCTATCTATTTGCGAGATAATTTTTGTTTTTGTAAACTTCTCGAAAGTGAGAATAATTTCCATTATATAATATAATCTTCAATGAATAAATATTTTAACTTTATTTGGGTAACTTATAATAATCTTACTATAATTGGCACGTCACTATTGTCAACTCAGAATTTATAAACAGAATAGGTATGTATTTTTATACTATAATAAAATATGGTGACGTATAATATATTGATTTTAACAACAATGCTGTTTTTTGTTCGTCAACACTATTTACGTGGGGCGGAAAAGGTCAAAAGTGAAAAGTGCTACTAATATTTTTTATGATATATTATGGTGGACTGAATAATATTTTAAGTTTAAAAAACACTAGGTATATGTCAATTTAAATTTTCCATTCACTTGAAATTGTTTATTTTCTTTTTATATTTTTAATTTCTTTAAAAATACAGTTAACTATTTTAGAAGCCATATTTTGTACCTGTATACGAGTATACGTCAGTTGTTACGGCAAAAGTTTGGCAATAAAAAGTGTTTTGAGTTGTCATTTTCGCTTGAGTGTAGCTTTCACCAGGTATATGACTTGATATGATGTTTGCTTATGGTTAAGATAATGGGTTATTCGCAACAAAATGGTTTTATAGTTATTTTTTATTATTATTAACTTAATATTAAAATACATAGTTTAATTAGCATTAACATTATTTGAGTACTGTTAGTTATTATGCCCACTGTTTTACAGATATCACAAAGTGGTGTACTCGTACTTAAAATATTTGAACAAAAAACAATTATCAAACTATTCTTCACAGTTGTGTTTACATTTTAAATTTTAATCTAAACGGCCCGCTGCCGGTCGAATGGCTTTTTTAAAAACCACTTTATAGGCTTAAATATTAATGACATTTATTCGAACGAGTTTCAGATACCTCTTTAAACATACTACGTCGACGTTCAGTTTTTAATATTATGTGTTAATATTTCTATTATAAAAATGTAATAACTGTAATGTACTTATGATTTTTGTTTTTTATATACTTAACTCTTGATGACATTTCAACATGGTTCTATACAATTTATAAATAAAATAAAAATATGTGTTTATTTACGTACCTACACACGGTAGGTACATATATTATAAAAATATAAATAATACATTGTAATAACTTATCATAGCATACCTACCGAAAATGAATAACAACTAAGCATATTTTATAGGTAGGTATGTGTTATGTGTATATATTTTTCAAAACACACTTTCTATTTAATGATCGTTTTTATTTTGGTTACCTTTATAATTAAACAGAACGTATATATTATTATTATATTTTTTAATAATATTTATATATTTACATTTGATATTACTGAGTATTTGTTAGCGAGATTATAAATACCTAAAACAATACCAAAGGACTTTAATCTTTATTACACCGGGAAGATGGGCGCTTCTTGCTTCGTACTTTATAAAGCTACGGTATTAAAGTATTGGTATACAAGTAATAAATATGTATGTATATTGTATATTTAATAAGTCTATAGGTATAATAACCGTATACGGTATACCAGTGAACACACCTATACTATGAATAACACGATTTACAGAAACTTAATAATGAACTAATGTTTTCATCGTTATAATTATATGATAATATATATGTAGCGAATACAGGTAGGTATATAAATGTGCATTGTATATTTATGCGATACTAAATTATTTGAGAAAGATAAAGTGTCTTATCTGGTCATAAATAATACGTGTTATTATCTTTAATAACGGGATATAAATTGTTATTTTGTTAAAAATGTCTGTGATCCTGATTCAAACAATCAGCTACCTAGGTATATAAAAGTCCGCAAATTCTCGAATTCTCGAAATTATATTTTTATACCGACCTAAATATTTTATCATAATATTATGAGCAAACTTTATAGTTTATATACAACGTTTGCATAATTTGTTGGTTAAAAACTTATTAAATATGATGAATAAACAATAACTAGAACAATTAAATAATTTCGGTAAATTACAGAAATTTAAACACATTATTTCGATAGTAAATTATTAAGAAGAATTTAATTAATTAATTAAATTTATACTTTGTAGTGTTGGAGTAGTCGACAGTGGGTGAGGCGTTGATTAACTGATTTCACAGGAGTCTGGAATACAGTTTACGGATATATTAATATATTGTGTGCCTATAAAATGTTTTTCATTTTAATTTCCTCAGAAGAATAGTATCTAACTGACTATCAGTATTTCAAAAGTTACCCTTGTGAAGGGAAACCGATCAACAATTCAATATAATGACGTTATAGTATAGAAAGCTAAAGCTCCGTAAAGCAGACTGCAATTAAATGTTGCATAATATGAAATGTATGTGAAATTTGCGTTTTCAGATTTATCACATACACTAAGGCCGATTTCCCCAACACGGTTAAACTTTGATTACGCTTAATCACCTGATAACAGATATTTAACCGGCCAAAGTCGGCCGATTACACTCCGGTTAACTTTAACCGTGATTAACTGAGTTAGTGAAATCGGCCCTAAGTACAATTAATAATATAATAAAAAAACTAGAATAATCATTTTCTAAGTTAGTCAATCATAACTAATATGTAATTCGGACACTTGAAATATAAATTATAAAATTGAAGTTCGTTGTCGTTCAAACAAATTTTAGTTTTATAGTTTTACAACCATAATTAAACTATACCTACATTTATCAAAATATTTTAAATTTAATTAAAAGTAACACTTTATCGATTTCTTAACCTGATTTCAATTGATGGAAGTCAATATATTTTAAGAGTATAAATTAATATTGAAATGTGATCAAAAGTTCTTGACGTGGTTATGTGGCTAACTAACTTAAAATTTAAAAAATGTTATCGAAACAGAATGTTAATAGATTATTATTGAGAATTTACAATGTATTTTATCAAATCATGCAGAATATAAACTATATAATATAATTATCTATTTCGATGTTAAAGGTATTTTGGTATGTTTGCGATACTCCTAAGCCCGGATATTTTGTATGAAAATATTAGTTTTCTATTGTTTAATGATTAATTAATTAGTCGATTAAATTGTTTAGGTGTACCCATCCATCTATAAAGTGGTTTGCATGAGCAGTCTAGAACCTCAACAACTATTAATTATTTATAACAAGCGTTGAGACGCAATGTGGCAAAACCAGTATATTACCTAAGTTTACAATATCCCCTTATATATCTATACACGTTTGCAATGTATTAGTATATCTTTCACAACAAGTCATCGACGCTCGAGTTTAATTTCAAACGTTGTGGCGATTAATTAACACGAAAGCCGCCACCAACACCGACATTGAATCCTCGTTCCGAGTTAACGCCCGTTATTGAATTACAATATATTATTATACACCTAAAACAAAAGACGTTATTTCCGCAATACTAAATATTTACGAATAAGACACTATACCTATATGAGTGAAACTCATCTATACACATTCGGATTCGAATGGTACAATTACTATCGTAACTTTCCCACAATCAGTGTCACTATAACTGATCTAAATTATGTCTTTTTTTCCACAGAACACTGTTCTGTTTTATTTTCTAAAACGTCAAATTAATAATTAATATGCGAATTAGGATGCGCATCACAACAAATTGTGTTTTATAGTTACCTAATATTTAACAGGTATTATGATATCGGGATCACCACAAATATACAATATTTGTAACTCGATTACTCGGACAACAAGATGATAAAATAATAATATAAGACATTCTAGCTATAGCAAGGAGGATACAATATGTATTTTCATAAATTATTTATTTCCTTCGGAATGAATTCTAAATAACTCGTCGCTCCTGCAATCGTATCATCGAGTACCTACTGCATTATTTCGTCTTGGCTTCAGATGAAAAACCTTTTGGTTAGGTACTCGAGTGTATTTTACCCTAAACATAGGTATGGCCGTATTGGCGTGTACCTCCGTAGTACGTGTAACCCCGCATAACAGACCAAATAATAATGAATTATTGAGTGCGGTGATAGAATTTAGAAAATATGTCATTGTACCGAGGTAGCAGGTAAAAGCTGTAGAACGAACGAAAGCGCAGGCACTGGAGCGTTCATCGGCTAGAGCTATTATTGGATTCAAATGTCGATTTTGACTTGATAGTTTGACACGTCGATAGACAACCCGGTAAGATGTCAATGCCATCCGTAGGTGCTCGTAAGTATCAGCACATTATTATATTGTTGTTCAGAATCAAAAATAGGAAATTGGACGTAATCAAATGAAAGCCACCGACGACGGTGAGGGACGGATGTGAATTTATAAATTTCGGGGAGATGCTGCAATTATTATACGATAGTGATATAGGAATGTTGATTGGTGACACCCGAGAGGGATGCATATCGTATTATCGTACTCGAGTAGTTATATACAGTTATACAGTTTTATAACTTATAGCTAAATACACAAGTCAAAAAGAGTGCATAGTCACAAAATAATGTGTTTGTGTGAGATGAACAAAGAAGGTGGAAGAATTATAACTTCTAAATATAGGGTATAGGTATTTACTTAAAAAAAATATTTAACATGCATTTATCTCTATGTGTGTGATGCGTATTTATTGTAAATTAAACATAATTTCCACAAGTGGCAATATTATGCAGTAGTTATACTTTAAAAACAAACAGAAAATTATCACTAGATAGGTACTTGATGGTTAAAGAAAATCAAATCGAAGACATAAAATATGTCAGTTAGTAGAAACTATTAGATAAGAAGTTGATATTTGATAACCTATGTATTTAGGTGCCTAATATATTTATTTTAAATCAATTATTTTCAACAGTTTGAAAATGAACTCCAAATTGTTAGTTACATTACAAAGATTTATTAATTGGACATTTTTTTATTCATTTTAGGAGAACCATGCCACCCATATGAACCATTCAAATGTCCTGGAAACGGCGCTTGTATTTCTATTCAATATTTATGTGACGGAGCACCCGATTGTCCAGATGGTTATGATGAAGATGCCAGACTTTGCACTGCGGGTAACATTACTACTTTATATTTATTTGACGTATATTTTGAACAGCTAAACTCCGGTCTTCACCTTTTTTTTTTAAGCACATTACAAAACGGTTGTCTTAGATTATCTATTTATTAGGTAGTTTTTTTGTCGTTTAATCTATTTAAACTTATTTTGTATACTTATGTCGTATTTATTGAAACACGAATATTAACTATTAATTACAATATATTAACGAATTTCACAGAATAATAAACAATTACTGCAAAGTTTCTTAATCCTTTAATGGATAGTAATTAACTTGTTATAATCTCCTATAATATGATTAAAGCCGCAAGTATTAACATGACAAAATAGTTTATGATACCTTAATAAATACATTTGAATTCCCTATTTAACCTGTTTTTAGTAAGAACTCTAATTCACTAAAATGTTATATATTTATTTACTTAGGTACAACTGGTTTTATTTTTAAATTAATTCAAACAAAATTAGCAAAATTTAGCTTTTTAATGGGTAAATAGAGGCCATGTAATAAGTACGTGCATGTGTAATATATATCGTGTTCAATGTTAACTAATTTACTAAAATGTCTACTATTCAACTTTTATTACTTATGCTTATTGTTATTTTACTACTAACATTTTACTGTTATCCAAGTAGGTAACCTTAATAAATAATAACAAGTACCACTTTTAATATTTCATATTTTTTACTTTTGATAAACTACATTTTATATTCTGAAATCTGATCCAGTTGAGCAAAACTATTTTTTATTATAAATTACAATTATAAAAAGATTTTCTTTGTAAGCATAAGGCTTAAAAGTTTATTAGATTGTAAATTCTACTTAAGGATGTCTTATTAAAGTATGATTGACTTAGCAAATGTTAACATAAATTAAGTTAATATTATCGTACCTACCTAAGTGTTTGAGAGAACTTTTAATATCTTTGAAATATGACCGACGAGACGATAACATTTTACCATTACTTTTTTCGAATATATAAGTAATTTCTGTACGCCGACTCAAGCGTGGACGCCCACACGACCTATTGTTATAACTATATTTATTTATTTATTTAATTTAATTTTAATTTTCTTCTGATTGTAAATATTTTAAAACGTTACCAATAGTTTCTTTATTACTAATATTTATTTATTATATTATTACTAATTGTTATCTATTTTTCCAAATGCTAAAAAAAAAGTGTAATTCAACAACAATAAGTTAGGATGACTTACGTTAGTGAAACTTTAATTAATAAAAAGTAAAAAAAAAATTGAAAATAAAACATTAAACCACAAAAAAAAATAAACTAAACTATTTGAGTAAGCTCCAACATTATGTCATTATCAGCAATATCTTGTAAAATTTTGGGTGAATTGACATCCATTTAAAATTGTTTTTTGAATATAAGATGTATGAGTTTTTATTTAAAAATATGATCAATTGAAAATAAAAATAAAAATAAATACCCATTACTCATAAGCTATTTAAATAATACAATAACTTTAGGAACAAAGAAACAATTAATAAATCAATAACTTGTTAATTGGTTCAAAGACGTATTTACATAATTAATGGTTTTTTACTTTTAAAATTAATAAATTACGACTTGAGAGTTATATGTACAGTGTACACATTATTAAAATAATACTTATGCAATATTATTAATACTTTACGTGACAAATACAAATTTACATAATTCAGTAGTTATTTTTATGATTAATGATTTCGTAAAAAAATACTGCAACTTGCCTTATACTTTCAGTAATATAAAATGTAAGTGATTATTGGTACAACACTGCAGTTTCATATTATAGTTAATAGTTTAGGTCACGGTAAGTAAAATTATGCAATAAGTGATAACTGATGTCTGATAACGATGTAAATCAAAAAACATTAATACGATTTAGACAATTTATATAGCTAATTAAAAAAAATATAAATTTAAAATTTACAAATATATGAATATTATGGAAAAAAAAATATTATTGTTAGTTTTTAGGTTTTTACATAATCAAACGTAATACTTAATTAAAAATAACTTGACTGTTTAAACATATTATAAAATAATTCAAATTTATAGCCTTACTTAATTAATATAATTAAAATTAATTAAACAGTTTTATATTATTTGTATATTTCAATAATATAATTTTATATGATTTTCAGCTAAACGACCACCGGTTGAAGAAACAGCAAGTTTTTTACAGTCACTTTTAGCTAGTCATGGACCAAACTACTTGGAAAAATTATTTGGCAGCAAAGCCAGAGACGCGTTGGAACCATTAGGAGGCGTCGAAAAAGTTGCAATCACTCTTTCTGGTACGTAAAAGTATATTCTAAAGTCTATTCGAAATGGTTAAAAATGGTTAAATGGTTAAGTTACGAATGAATAAAATTGTATATTCTATTTTATATTTATGAATAGTGCGGGAAAATATTTTTAGAACTTCAGTATTATGCTAATTTATATGATTATAATATGTTCTAAATTATCTTGGAAATCTACATTTCTAAGAAATTGTCGACATAATAATATGATACTTACTCCGATTATTTTTGTAACACGGACTATCACTACATTTGGATTTTCAGATATATATTTTACATTCAGAGTGGAGCGAGGAAGCTAGTGGTTTTACAATGGTGTTTATTTTTTATTTAGCTCAGAATCTAAAAATAATTATTAAATATTAATTCAATTTACAGGTTAAAATAAATAATAACAATATAAAAAATATCCAGACTGACAAACCGCCAAATCGTTTTTCTTATACAATGATATTATCTCATTGAATTCAAGTTAAAATGTTAAATAAAATCCGTTATATATTGACCCACTTGTAACCTACTGTGCAGCAGAGCGACATCCACTTACCCACTTTTTTTTTTAAAATTAAAACCTAATTAATATTAATTGCATATAACATAGTTTGTATATATAAAAGACAACAAATATTTGCGACTGTGTCTTTTAAGCATCCCAAAACCATTCATCCGATTGCGATGAAATTCGGTACAGAGATAAATTAGACCTCGGGCAAGAAGATAGGCTACATTTTGTCACGAAAAAGGTAAATAAGAGGTCCAACCCCGGGAAGTTCTCAAACAGGGAATTTTAGATTATTTTTTTTTTTTTATAAATGGTTGCTATTAGTTTTATAAACTTTTATTTAGTTTTAATAATAATAATTATTATTATTAATGCGGAAAGTCTGTCCATTTTAGTACAGAATGTATCGAGTTCGAATCACGTTAATGGTGGACCAATTTTTTGAAATGTTTGATACTTTAGTGTTAACTCACGCACTCACCACGCGGTTCCATCTACCATAGATAGATTGCCTACCTGATAATATACTGCTCGCATAGTAGCAAAAACCTAGCAATAGCAACGAATTGCCATTTTTTTATTTTAGCATAATTCAATAGCATTGTACTACCTATAAAATAAGAGCTGAAACGTTTTAAAACTGAGCTTAGCTCGTATGTATTTAGTATACGGAGTTTCTGGTTAAATATAATTCGTTTATAAAACATTTTTTTATTACAATTGAAAATAGTAACTTCATTAATTTGGTGGCTAATTAAAAATTCAAAGCCGTATAGTATATTTGAATACTTGCCCGCACTAATAATTATTACTTGTGGTTAATGTATTACTGAATCTAAACTAGACACTAGTAAAAATAAAACTTAGGTAATTATCAATACTTAAAACTACCTAATATTGAACTTATTTATAATTTCAAAAGCATGGGTCACAGATACATATCCTAGTACCTACCTGATACCGGGCATAGCGCCATAATTATACTATTATAATATTATATTTTACGACAATTATGAGTTATGAACTTGTGTTGATGAGTTACATAAAGTTATGAAAAAAAAGTCAGATTTGCATTTTCCGATTTTTAAATTACAAATTGTAGAAAAAGTTTTTTTGCACCGTCTGTCTGCAATCGATCCGGGCAGTCCTGTAAGGTCACGGCTCAAAGTAAACTTTTTCATATTTTTATATGAAATAATTATGGGGAAATTCTTATAGAATAGTCTATACCACCTGCGATTAATTCTCCATAAAATATAGTGGTGCAGTCAATAACATTTTTACTATACCTGGAAAAATTTTGCCCAATAGTAAAAACCCATTGTGAAACTACTTACTCTGTCGCACTGCAGATGTACAAGTTTATGAAGATTACAGTATGATCGACGAAAATATTATAAAAATGAAAACGATTTGTCGGGTCACGGTTTACGAATAGTAGAATAGCTCAAAAAATTGCAATCACATATTCACAACTATACCGACAATAAATTGAACAGAGATGGTTAGGTACTCTATATACAACTATACAAGGTATATGTATATAGAAGTAATACTTTATTCTGGTTAAGCTCGTGATTTGAACTTTCGAGTAGGTTTTGAAAAACTCACAACCTTGAATAGATGTAAGTTAACAATAACGTTGATTTTACTTATTTATGTTGACTGTTTTGGATAAATCGAGTTTTGTTCATATTCTTTTTTCAGATGTAATGTTTGTAATCCTGCAGTACAAAGCCCAAACTACCCACTTATTTCATGACAATTTCGTCACTGTAAATGTGTAGGTAGTTCCGCTAATTATTGTACCTATATGTTAATCTTTGGTGACATTTTCGGAACAATTATTGTATTACGTATTTACTATTGATACTATTGAACCAGTAATGCCAGTAACCTATCCAGTAAATAATTTTCCAAACCGAGCTTTTTAGCGAACATCTTCTCTTTATAGTTTTATGTCATTACTTACGTTTTGGCTTTGGCAATTTGAAGGTCTTCGACCACTTAATTTATTTTCCCGTTTTTTTTCTTAATTATATCAGTAAATAATACTGTATCGGCTTACGAAAATTGAAGAATGCAGGGTATAATAGTATAATATTATGTTAGAAAATAACTGGTACCTATATATATGCCTTCGCTCGTGCGGATTTGCGGAGGTCACCTAACAGTAAAAGTATATAACATAATACCTATTATAATTGAATGTCACACTAATTGAAACTTTAAAGTAAAATGCAACCTTCCGGAACAAATATTATCAGCTCTCCACTTTCATCCAGATTCGATTAAAAGAATAATCGAATTAATTTGATAATTCTTTTTAATTTTTATATTCCACTGGCATACAAAGCTCCGGGTTACAATAAAAATATTATGGCGTCACACATACAAAAACATTTATGTAGGTAAAAAGAATATATTATAAGTTATAACGTATCGACGCTCTGGCACATAGTGGGAGGAGGGTAGGTTACCTTTATATTTATTAGAAACTAGCTGATCCCGTGCACTTCGTCGCCCGTTAAATGGATCAACTCAATACTACCTACTCAAACTTTGTTCAATTCATTAACGTGTATGGTGTTCAAAATTTATCTTATCTTTCCCGTTGCCCTGAATAAAAATTCTGAATCGCAGCAGTACATTATCAGGTAGGCAATCTACCTGCGGTAGATCGCGGACCCCGTACTGTTTGTACGGAAGTGTATGATTTAACTCTAAAGTATCAAAGTTATACCAAGTTTATTTTGATGTAATACTGTGGATTAATATAATAAATTTGGTTGCTCGTAAAAAATCGCAACTCTTAAAAAAATTATGATTGTTGAACTCCTTTTGGGTGTAATTTTCTGCGGTAAGTGCAACTCTGCCACCCTGGTAAGCATTGTTCAATAATTCGATTTGATGCAAGCTTGTACCTGATCTGCCCGAATAACCAATGGCAACCAATAAATAAATGCTAATTTCTAATGTAGACTGTAACCAATGGCAACTATAAATAAATAAAAATAAAATTTCCAATTTCTATCGTGAATCTCAATGTCCCTGTTTCAGCACCTATTTAAAATGCGAATTTTGGCAAATCCTTTCTTAGCGCACGTCTATATTATAATAGCTATCTGTATGCCAAATTTCAGCCAGATCCGTCCAATGGTTTGAGCTGTGCGTTGATAGCAGTCAATCAGCTTACTGTTTTTTATATACAGATATGGTTGCCATGGTAATATGGACACACACACACACACTGACATACATTCATTTTTATATATATAGATTGATATGAAATCTTGGTAACCTTAGTAACCATGGCAACCTTGGTAACCATGGTAACATGGACACACAGACACACAGACACACTGACACACTGACATACATTAATTTTTATATATATAGATTTATGATTTCAAAACAATTTAATGACTAAAATCTTAAATCGGGGGAATTCGAAGGGTTTCTGGTCAGGTGTAACACATATTGTTTTAACATCCCATTTATTTGGTCAAAGATAGTTTTCCTAGTATTACTTTCATATTATTATGATTAATATGGAATTTATAGTTCATATAATATTTTGAACAAGTTGGTACAAGATTAAAAGACAAAATGTTAAGCAATAAAAATATATAATATTATAATACGTGATAAAAATTCAGTAAATGTATTAAAGTATTTCAAATATGTTGGCTAACACTATCAAGAAATTGACACATAAAACTAATAACTATATATATGTAACTTAATATTTAATAATCCATTATTTATACAGACATATTTTTATAAGATTAAGATTCTATTATTTTAATATTCATGATTGGCTTTGAATATTTTTATCCCACATTTTATTAATTTATTTTCATACATACATTGAATATTATAACTTGTTTTAACAATATAATTATTACAACTTATTTCAACAGTATAATTATTATCATTGTTTTTCGTTACACTTAAATCGTCAGTTAAAAAAAAATGAAACGTGCTGAATTGTTCGATAGCTAATTAAATTATATGGCAACCTTGCACGTATATATTCGTTCTCGATAGGATTAATTCGTTAATAGGTAAGAGGTGAGTTCTTTGTGAACTTAAAATGTTTTCAATCGTTCGGCCTAAAAGGTATAGGTAACGTTCTCAATCGATAAATAACCGATTTACATATTTTATATCTGGAGACTCCTGGAGATACTCCAGGTTATATTATATACATAATAATATAGTTGAATAATGCTATTTATTATATTTATTAGGTAGTTATTATTTTTAACAATAGTAATAATCAGGGCCAGATTTAGGGGGGGCACGGAGCCCCCATAAGATTCAATTAATAAGAGGCCCCCACAGAATAAGTACCTTTTGCAGTAAGTTTACCAATTTTATACGGACCCTGGGGCCCCTCCTATAACCCTAAATCCGGCTCTGGTAATAACTCATTGGTAAATATGTACCTACTACCTACCTAGTTTGTTACAGATTAAACAAATTTCTTTTGTATCGAAATAAAAATGTAATATTTAAACAGAACGGTAATATTTAATTTATCTATAAACGTGTAACGCGTATATTATTGTGCTTACAGAATCACAAACAATCGAGGACTTCGGTGCTGCTCTCCATCTAATGAGATCTGACTTGGAGCATTTGCGTTCGGTGTTCATCGCCGTCGAGAACGGTGACATCGGCATGTTAAAGAGCCTGGGCATCAAAGACTCTGAGCTAGGCGATGTGAAGTTTTTCCTCGAAAAGCTAGTCAACACCGGCTTTCTAGATTAATTTATTAAAAAAATATCGGATTTGTATACAATTATAATATCCTCTGTAATTTTCTATTCCTATTTATATTACCTACCTATATACGAATATCCATCCAAGATTTCAGAAAAAAAAAAAAAATTATTATTTCGTCCACTCCCTTCGTCGCGAATTCCACGGTATTCCGGACATAACTTCCCTAATTATTTTCGGTCAATTAAAACGAACTATATATTATTATAACATTATACTATTTTAATCGTATACATTCGGTTTTGAATCACACAATACATATCAAAAATAAAACTAACACTATACATATCATATCATGTACAACTTTAAACATATCTTTTTAATATCAAACATTTATTATTATTATTATTATTACTATTAATATTATCTATAGTTATACAAAATGTATTACATTAAAAATATATCATTATAAATATGTGTTGAATATATCATTTGTCTTAACAACGCGTGCCCAATGAGCCATTATAATACGTCTGTATGTTTTCTTTTTTTTTAACAACGCAATTATATACCCTGTTTTGCTTGTTTATCATTGCGCAGTATTAAGGCGTATGACTTTTTCATAATAATAATTATTACATTTTAATCTTAACTTATTCTATGTAACGTTTTACGGCCCGACTCCGAGATTCAATTAATTTACGGACAAATATAATACATTTATAATACCTGTCCATCGTAAATACGTGATGTATGGGTTATAATAACCGACACTCCGAGTAGGTATTTTACTACAGCGCCTATAATGCGCCTCCTATACGACGTTTACGTTGTTTATAATATCATATTATAGGTAGGTACCAGTGTTTTCTTTAAAACTTAATTAATATTATTATTATAACATTTTTAATAATATTCATTCTTATACATCGTTTAAGGTATACACGAGTCATCATAGTAGTAGTAATAATATTACATTTTTATACTACCATTTCATAATAACATAGCAGTTAATGAGCGATAAATAATAATTCACAGGGTGTTTCAGCTATATCTATGATGTAATAAAAAAAGTGTGCATTTTACGCATATACATTAAAACTTATTATTATAATATTATATTTTATGTGTTCGAGGCGAAATTCGTCTCAGTATCACTGCAAAGAAGACAGAAAAAAACCACAAATATAATAAATTTCGAAAGCAGACAAGTACCACCTATACTTGATCTATTATATCTTTATCGACAACGTGCGATATTTTTTCTTCTCTAAATATGTTTTTGATTAGCTATACTTTTCATCCGAGGTTTATTAATTGAATATTTCCGATAAAAAAGAACACTTTCACACTTAAATATTATACGAAATATATCATAACCTCTGAAACACGCTGTAAACGGTTCCAACAATCCAATATACCAACACATGTCCTACATACATATATATATATATATATATATATATATAGGTGTGTGTATATAAATAGCTCTTATATATCTGTAGGTAACTACTCTATAGTATAACAACACTAATTTTTCGAATGTAATTTCTTTTTGTAATGCTCATTTGGCACATCGTTTTCAGTAGAACACCAAAAAAAAAAAAAAAAACCATAGTTTAATAAATTATTTATAATCGTGATGAACTTTGGTTCACCATCGAAATGTAATAATCATAGGATAATTTATTGAGTGAGGTAAAAAGTGTACATGTTCATTAATAAAACAACGATAACGACCTTACTGACACGACACACATATCATTTGAATAAAATATATTTTTTACCGACTCAATAAAAATCATAACTGTTTATTTTTCTTCTTCTTTTTTTCTATACGATTTATACTATTTATTCTATATAATAGACCTTTATATTATAACTTTTGTTTATATCCGATACAAAACGGTATTTATAAAATATAATTACCGCATAAGGAATCAATTATATTATTATATAATCCATTAAAAATTAAATTATTATGTACATTGTGTTATTATTTTTTAATTGGTATTACTTGTATGGCATATTCTTTTATTTTTCAGGCAATGCGCTATATGTGAATTTTATTATGCTTCACAGTACACATATTGTTATAGAAATTGATATTTTAAACAAAAGTATAATATACAATCATAAATATTTGAATTATCTACTGATATAGAAGTCGAGTATGTTATGTTATGTTTATATATTTTGTATATGTCATCATTAAAGCAATAATTACATTACCATTGGATTGAAACGAAACGACGGGCGATAAATATTAAAGGTAGGTAGGTTTTAATTGGGCTTCATATCTAGGACATTTTATGGAAACGAAAAAAAAATATGAAATTATATTTACCATTACTTTTTATTCTGATACCAAATATTTATATTTATAGTATAGAATTTCCTGGACCTGATAAAATTAAAAAAAAATAATTTGACTTTTTTCGTAATTTATGGACTTGAAACAATAAGCGAAACATGAAAAATCAACTGTTTTATTTTTAGGTTTGCCTAGGTAGGACTTGCCTAGTTGCATTATATTCTCAGGTACCTATACTGGTACACAGAATCTCGTACTTACTTATTTTTGTTTTCAACAGTTTTTTAAACAATTATTTTTAATGAAACCCTATAAATGTTTATAGTAAATTAGGAAATGATTTTGGTAGGACATTTTGGTACATAATTAAAGTTGAACAATGTATTTCGTTTTAACTAAGAACTTCTTGGGTCTAAATTCTAAGTTTTTACTGTTTTAAGTATTCAGTATTAAATTAAGGATACCTATTGAACATTAAAATTTAAAGTGGACTCCGACTTCCAAGTTACCTTCTGCATTACATTGTCAGTTGTCACTTATAACTAGTTATAAGTTATAAATTATAATAGTCATACCGACGTAGGTGGTAAGTTACATAGGTACCTAATTGTTTTAATTTCATATTATATAAGCACAAGTCACAACCTACATGACTAGATGGATTGTTTATTGTGGTATGAATCATGAATGTATTATTGTACCTATATATTTTGTATGGAAGCATTGTCACAGAATCATTGGCACTGAAACCATCAGTTAAGGGTAGCAATCCCCACCCTTCTTTTATTGGGTGAGTGGTGGTGGTGGTCCCATAGTGGATGTCTGAGCCTCTGAAGAATGAGGTTGATTATAACTAAATTATAAATTTTCTATCTTTTAGCCTATTAGATTTTTTTTTTGTTGTTGTTATTAAAAGAGTTTTTATTCAATCTGTTACAAGGTAGAACAGTAGGTATAAGAACAATTGATGGAATAGTTAAAAATAAAAATCTTAATATCCCACTGGGTTTTATAACATATGCATTGTTAATTGAGACATTGTAGGTTATTTTGTATCAACAACTCAATTTGCATAGGTACCTATTAAAAGCAGTTTTAAAATAATAAAATTCATATAATAGGTAGGTAGGTAAAGTAGGCTGTAGCCAACAAATATGTATGGATTGTGAAAACCGCAGCTAAGACATAATGGACTTATTAATACCAAAAAGTGGCAAAAACTACTACAAAAGAGGAAAGACCAAAAATTCAAAATAAATTAAATCACGAGTATGAAGTTATCAATTAGTAATTAGTAAATAGTAACTGGTGACCTAGCCACTGATAAGAAGGTGTACGATGGATTGCCTATACAAGGCGTACAAACATAATACAAAATTCCTATACAAAATTATACCAAATCCACACCACGTAGATGGCGTTGTATATTACAAATGTAGTATAATTGTAGTATAATAAAAAATAAATTATAATTAGTGAATTACAATATAGTAATAAAATTATAACCATAGGCGAAGGATAAATGGTTATGGTGGTCAAAGATGAGGTGGGTAGAACCCCCTTGACCTTTTTTCAATGTTTAAGAGCTGATAACCATACATTATATTTTTAAAAATCATTTAACCACCACTGGCGTAAGGTGTTCAGATATATATATTGGGAAAATATACTAGATATTTAATATTTTTCGAAACATACATCAGGACTACGGTTAAACATGTTTCCAAACGTCGAATTTCAGCACCATGAATCGAGGTGAAAAATCAACGGGTGCACATTCGATCGTGCGGTTCGGGTGACAGCATCGTAAATCATTACGAAAATTAGTGGAGAAGTGTCATCGGAGAAGCAGTGACTAGCGATGTTTAGAAATTATTAATTGGAAAGCAGTTACAAATCACTGAAGCGGTCAAAAAACGTGTTTGAGCACAGTTAAACCCACATCTGTTGCGATTTCATTGACAATTATCGCAATTATACAGCAGTTTTTCCTTATTTTTGTAGAAACTACCAGTGGCGTATATAGGGGGGGAGGCGCCCTAGGCCAGAGCCCATAGTGAAATTGCAGGTTCAATTGCATGCATATCTACACTGTTTACAGTTTTTTACCATGATTAATTTAGCCGATTGATTAAAATGGTTTTTGAGGAATCGACAAGGAAATGTTACATTGTTAGGACTTGCTTTGATGGCGTTGATGTTAAATTCATAGTAAGATATCACTAAAATATTTATATATGTATATGAAACTGTCAATATTTTTAAAAAAAAAGAATTAAAAAATTTACTGTACATAATAATTATAAAATGAGCAATTTTTATTTGTATTGTATATGTATAACCACCCAGCTCCCTAAAAAATGTACAGTTATGGCTATATTATGTAAGTCATGGTATGCTTGACTAGTCATAAATTGGCCCATAGTGAAAATTATTCGTATATACGCCACTGGAAACTACATAGGAAATAGAAAAATTACCTCTTCAAAATAACATCTAGATAATATTTTCCATCTATAGAGATTGATTGGTAATATTTTACTAGCCGAAAAACATTATTGCAAATTGCAGATTATATAGGTAATTAAGTGAACCAATATAACAATAATTTCATTCCTTGCATGTCGTAATCTAAAAGTGACAGGATATCAATTTATTTTCATTATATAATTTATTTTACTATCTATAAGATGGTTTTTAATAGCATTTTTGTCGTTGGACGGGCAATTAATAA